AAAGCCACCCCCCCCCTAAACCCAAATAGCACTATCGGCAACACCCCCCAGCTCTATTATTATATAATATTCTCTAAATTATTATTTCACATTGCATTTTTATCATTCCAAACCTGTATAATTGGCCTTCTGTAAAGTAGTCTTTGACTGTTCCATTTATTATCTGAAACTCTTTCCATAGTTAACTGTTTCTTATTGTATGTTTACAGGAGGGTTCTTGAAGCCTGTAGAAGACTCCTCGGAGTCTCCTAAAAGTGGGGAGTACGAGACCTTTCAAGGAGCAGGGGTTTGCAAATGGTTCAATGTTAGAATGGGCTTTGGTTTCCTCACAATGACCAAGAAGGAAGGAGCTGAGCTGGAGACACCTGTGGATATCTTTGTGCATCAGGTAAGACAATAACTATCTGATCACTAAAAATGCCGCTCTGGATCTACTGCTTTTGGCATGCTAACCTTGACTTAAATATTTTACTGCTAATCATCTGTGGAATTTAAACTTTTATGCATTTGATTTTGAACTGAAATGGTTTTTGTATGTGTAAAACGGTGCATAACTTTAGTAATCTATAAACTATAAAAAAAAATTAAACCTAAATTTAGAAAATAATTAGCATGCAGAATTATTATTACTGTTTAATCCTTCTGTAAAGAATACTGCAATACAGCATGAGAAGTATAGAGATGCCAAGGGGTAGTATTTGACAAGAGAAAAATAAATCCAAGCATTCCATGACACAGATCTCATATTTGTGTGTAAATGACTATAGACTTAACGGTGTGCCCTACAGTAGTATCTAATTGCCCTTTTCAATAAAGAATCAACAGTTTTTATTGAATACTCTGTAAAAGTGTATACAATTCCACAAAGATGCATCCACGCTAGGAAAAAGGTTCATGTGTATTTCTGATATACCTAATGACATTCCAAATGTTTAGCAATGCCATCTGTATAAAACAAAACTGATTTAAAACAAATACCCTTCTTATCTACATTTATCAATTCTGTGTATTTATATATCTCTCTTGAGATGAGACCACCTGCAGGCACTGGAATTAATATTCAGGGATGAATCACATGCAATGGATTCCCAGTAACCTTTGCTTGACCTGTGCATTCTCAGGAGATTTTGGAAGTGTGTGGGTGGGATAAGGGTACTATCTCACTTTATTGTCTCAAATGTCTAATTTCCTTATTGCAGCTTCTAACGTTCTCAGCATCAAAAGGTCTTACAGTCTCTTACTGACCAGAGCCACCATCTCCTCCCTCCACAGGGCAGCATATTTCCTATCCCAATATCTCCTGTGTACACAGGACTCAAAGTGAGATAACACATCCTGCAGAAGCAGGAAGATAAGAGCAAATGACATTGTATCCAACAGATCCTCAAACAGAATACAGTGTGGACAAAGATGAATGTTTGTCCTTACAAACTTAGTCTTATCTAAACTATTTGCATATACATGCCCAATGTTTCCATAGCAGCTAGAACTGGTATTGTTATGCAAATGAGAATTTAAATAATAATGTAAAGTTTAAGGGCTAATTCACACCATCAACATTTCAATTCTGATCATGCATGTTATAAAGTACTATATAGAGACATTTTATGACTTTATTTAATAGGTAATTGTTCCTTTAATCCCAGCTACTGCTATGTGAACATACAGTTGGGAAATGTGTTTGCTATAGGGAACAAGAAAGGTTCTTTTTTCAGATGTCTAATTTTTTCCAATTTTTGTACTGTCCCACCACCACAGTACCACTTGTAGTCCTGGCACGGTACACAATTTAGACTGGATCTTTGCAGGATACACACACTTACGGCCAGCTATATATTTATGCCATAGCTCCTTGTTTTCCTGGATCTCGATGCACATGCTCTTGTTTGCTATGATCTCACAGACAGCTCTGTGATTTAAATTACAATTGTCCTTGTACTCTTGAGGTGTGACTAGGGTTTAGGAGGTGTCAATAAAGTAAACACATTCTCCAAAAGTGGATGATGCAAATTTTGTAGAGAAACTATGATTTAAACTGCAGACAAGACGTTTTGGTTTCATGTCCCCTGCCCAGCTTTGACTTTAAATCCCCAAGAAGGATACATCCAGTAGTGTGGATGTGTACAACAGTTGGTACATGCTCTACAGACACTGATAAAAAGTTACTTTTAAAGGCTTCATTATTTTGCTAGACATAAGAGGAGGTTAGTGCCTTTAACAGTAAAATGCTGTAATGTATGGCATATATACAGTTAATGAATACTTATAAAGTTGAATGCAAACTGTTTACACCCCCCATGCCTTACCCCATACCACATTTGTTTCACATATCTGGTATTAATATTAGGATTTGCTGGACGTGAACTTCCTTGGGGGTCACTTACACCCAATGCATACATGGTGCATTACCATGCGTTTTGACATATGCTGCATCGGAGGCTGCAAGGCTCCCAATAGATGCTGTAATTGATCATTCAAAAGTGACATATACTTTCTATACGCTGAGGAGGGGGTTGCCGCTGTCAGAAATGCCAGGTCAAGAGTTTTCGAACCAGCTCCAATTAACAAAAGTTAATTAAGAAATCGACTTTTGTTAAATGGAAGGGTGCCTACTGGGCAACACACTGGTTCTGCTGACTCGCCCAAAACGTATTCTTGGTCTTGCAATTACACTGTCCATAAACAAGAGATAAGCCTGAACTAGCAGGAGAGGGAAATGATTCAGTTGTCTATAGGTCTTCACACTTTGATAGTGAAAGTCTATTATTTCCCGACATAAGGTTGTCACTGGGGTGTCATCACATTACACAAACATTCACACCTGGGTGATATGAGCATGATTGTTTGTGCACTCATTAAAAAAAAAGGTTTAGCTGTCGGACTAGTCACTTTTGGCTGCCATTTTATGGCCAGGGCACATTTTGTGAACTAAATTTCTATGGTTAGCTTAATGTATCCTACCTACTCAAGCCTATAAAATGTAGAATAGCATAGATATACATATTAGCATAGATATTTTGTCACATATGTAAAGATTAATGTTCAATAAGACTGGAGACATTAAAAATGTATTTCCACTTTTGCAAGCAAATTGAGATAGCAAATGCTTTACATTTGTTACATGTTCCTATTCACATAGCATAACAAACCAAAAAAAAACATTAAAAATGTCAGCTTTCCAAAAGCAGTCCAGTTGAATGGTGGGCAACAGCCACTGACAGATCGAAGAAAGACACTAGGACAAGTCCACAGTAAAAGAAAACAAATCCACAAGAGAAGACTAGTCAGACTATAAGGCCACTGCCTTACAATTTCACCCTTTGAGATTCAGGGAAGGGAGGTTTCATAATAAGAATGAGGTTTCCTGGTCAGATGACCAAACCTCACAACGAGACATACAAGAAAGGGAGAACCTCACGATTTAAAATCCTATAAGGCTAGCCGAAAGACTCCTAAGAATGGTAGAAACCCCAGGGGCATCAACCCTGAGGTCAGTATTACAGGAAAAGCAAGGTAGAGTGCTCTGGAAGTACCCCAACAAGGACAGGCAGGGAAGAAAGCAAACCAGTGATAAAGGTAAACCACAACCCCAGACTGTTGCATCTTCTTAATGACAGAACATCCTCAAGAGGATCTATTTCCAGATGATCAGGTCCCATGAAAGCCTCCAGCCATACTCTATCCCCATCAGAAGGAACCCAGTAATGCAGCACAGCATAACACACAATGTGATGTGCATTGTGTTGCTATAAAAAGAAGTATGCTACAATTTTTGTTTGTGGTGTTGTTTTTTAAATTCATATTTTGCATTCCCATACTTTTAATGTATGAGTATATATTTTTTTACTGTGAGGGCATGGAAGGTTTTGAATTTACCAGGCACTAGAGTGGATATAAGGTCCAATGCTTTGAAAAATACAGGTGCCTCTAAGAGACACTGAGGGGACAGGGCATTGTTAGGGAAGGGAGCAGTAGGAACTGGTCCCAGCCAAAACTGTAGGTCAGGGTTCCCTCTGGAGAGGGGGGATGCTGAGGGGTATCAATTACCACAAGGGTTCAACATTATCCAAGGATATAGATTTCCCTCTGAAACAGGGAAAGTTAAGCCTATGTGGGGAATATTTATTGAAGCCAAGTTCCCACTAGAACAGGACCAAGGGGTCCCCATGTGTGAGGAACACAGGAAGTCCTGGGAAGATACACTGCAATGTTTGAACAATCAAAATGGGGAGGGGCAGCTGAAAGAGTTGCCAGACAAAGGGGGTTAATTTATGGACTAAAAGGGGTGTCCTGAGTTCTCAAATGTCAGGAAGGCAAACTACCTGAGGAGGAATGCACAAACAGTCCCCTATTAGAAGTGGAAGCTCACCTCACGCAGAAGGCTTACCAGAGGGGTTAGCTGAACTCTGGCTTTGAACCCTATGGTCTAAGTGGGAGTTGGGCCCTGAGGTCCTACAGGCACCTGCTACCGAGGTAGGTGAAGGAGAAGGGCAGGCTTCCTCCCACCCCTCAGCTGATCTTTTGCATTGAGACAGGAGCACGTTATTTACAGTGTTGAAGAGACAACATCCACATCTGTAAGGAAATCAGCACCATTTGAGACATAGGCTTGTAGCAAGTCACCACAACTAAAGCACAAAGCTTCAGGCATTTTCTCCAGCCACTCTATGAAATAGGTCTACCTCAGCAGTGGGAGGATCCCTTTTAAGGGTATCTACCCATTCTGACATGGTTTGACTAAATGACGTTACCACCAACATGGGGCACACCAGCCATTTCAAACTGGAATTTATAGGTGGATTCTATCTGTATGTTAGTGACATTTTAAAAGGTGAGCACATTCTTAACAGTTTAGAAACATTGAGCAGCTCTACCTTTGTCTCCAATCCCGCTGCTTGAACCTCGGTGCCGAGCAGCAAACAAACAAATGCTTACATGTTTCAGCCCCCAAACTGGTCCTTTTTACAAATAAAGTACAGGATGGACAGATCCCCTTGCGAGTGCCGATTTTTTACCTAGAGCACACTCTTAACACATTTAGTAATATACTTGTTAATATAGATCCCTGGTGCATCTACTGTGGCAACAGACCACCTATTAACACCCACCTCAGAGGGGAAAGGTTCCACCGCACAGCCAAGGATGCTTTAGGGTGTTTCCAGTCCACACAGAGGAATTAACTATATAGCTGGTGAAGCAGAAAGGTCTTTGCAAGTGTAGAGGCTCTAAAAGACCCAAGGTCTGCAACAGCAGTCTGATCCTCCAGATGCACGATAATTTGCACAGCATTAATAGGGTTTCAAACAAACACTGGTAAATCTGATTTACTGGCAGGAGATAGCAGTGCCTCAAAAACAGTCTCTTCAAAGATAGACTGTTGGGACTCTGAATCAGATATAGTAACAAGGGCCACAAGCCCGGTTTGAATCAGGAGCTTAAGGGGGTCAGACTCTACACAGTCTCCAAAGCTAATGCTGAGGAAATGCTGGTCAATCTTAAAGTCACTGAGTAAAAAATGAAATAAAGCATGAAAGGCTGGCAAAAAAAAACGGACACGCTGGTCTGTCTGCTGCTGTTTATGTTTATGTGACTATATGCATCCACTCTGAGGCTCTCCAGGGAAAACTGGCTTCTGAATGGGTCATTATTAGTTGCATTCTTAGTGTACTCTGGCTTGAGTTTACTGTTTTGTTGTCGTCCTTCTGCATCCGTGGCCATCCATCCATCCCTCCTGAGGAAGGCCCTTTAATGGGAGCGAAACACGTAGAGGAGTATCTACCTGTGGCAATACTTGGACCTCACTCTTCAGCAGACTACATATGAATCCAAGTAGAAATTTATGCTATAAATAGGCGGGTATCTAATTCCTGGGTAGCTCATTGTGGATGCCAATAGGGATGCACAATAGGGATGTATAATAATAATAATAATGCTTATAGTGTAAAGATGGACATTTGTATGTGATTTAACATGATTTTGCTACACATGTTTTTAAATGATGTATGAATAAATAATATTTTTAGCTAAGAGAATCACAAGTGATGTTTCTGGTACCCTTAAAGCCCATTGTTTTCTTGTAAATATTGCACACACAAAAATATAGACTTTTTAATCAAAGCTGAAGAAAAAGGCACCCAACCTCCTAGGACAGTAGCAACAAACTGAGGCAAGGTGGGTAGAAGAGGGGTTAGGGACTGGCTTACAACTTTTTGCTGTTTACCAGTGTCTTAATCACATGAATGTTAGCAGTATAATCTGGCTTTTTCTGACTTGCAGTGTCCCTCAATGTACGAAAAAGAAAACAATTTTGGTGCTTGTTATTGCATGTAATGTCACTAGTGTATTACCAGCCATAGGAGATTTAAATAACCAATTAGCACCAGAAAAGGAGATATTTTTCACCTAAAGTTTATATAGGATCATATTGGAGATATTTACTTCATACTTGAATGGCTTTAATCACAGCAGCAGAACAATGGACAGAGCACATGGCTACCTGCATAACAAGCCCCTTCCCCCGCTTCCTATACCTCTTCCCCTTCCCCCCTCTCTATTAGGAATGCACGGAATGTATAGCATGTCTGAGATCCCTTTGTTCTTCCATTCAGTTAGCCAGAATATCCGCTCTCTGTCATAAGCTGGGAAATCCTGCAGCCCCCACCTGGAGAGAGGGAGATAGGCTTAGAACATTTATTAACATGCAGGCATAACAGGGAATCCCCATGAGTAAAGTTATAAAGAAAAAAATACTATATCATACAATGAGGTAATTATATCCCAGTAATAGAGACTTGGCTATATATGATCAGCTTGGTCAGCCATTTACAAATTAGTTGACTAATGATAAAAGATCCCTTTATCATTCAGAACACATGGATTGGTATACAGATATCTGCTAAAGATAATGAACCGTTAAATGTTGTGGGTCTCTTTAAATGTCAACCCCATTGGATCTGCTCTTAATATAACTTTTTGTATTCCAGAGGCTATGTTTTTTATGAATGTATGCAGAACCAGCACATGGCAGATATTGTTTTCCACTATTCGCATATTCATCATTCCTTGCCCCAGTGCAGTTTAGTCTACTGCTTCCAACACACAAACAGCTTTGGGGGCTTTTTTAATGTAAACATGGGTAGAAGAGCATCCCTGATGGAACTTCAACCAATGATCCCAGAAATGCATTTTTCGACAACAATTATCATACAAAGGCACAGAGTCATCAAAATTAGAACACATGGATAACAAATGGCCAAAATAGTAATAATAATAATTATGAACTTTTTACAATTACATAATTCATAGTACCACATTTCTTTTGTCCTGCTTTTGCCTGTAATTATTGTGGAAACAATAATTTAGGAGGTGGTATTCATATACTATTCTTTTGAATTGATGCTTTCATAAAGTGTGCCAATTCTTGCTCCTTTTCCTTATAAAGTAACCCGTTTTTCCCATCCACAGAGCAAGCTGTACATGGAAGGTTTCCGCAGCCTGAAGGAGGGGGAATCTGTGGAATTCACTTTCAAAAAATCATCAAAAGGCATGGAGTCCACCCGAGTAACAGGGCCAGGGGGTAACCCGTGCATTGGAAGTGAGAGGCGACCAAAAGTAAAGGGACAGCAGAAAAGGAAGCCTAAGGGAGACAGGTAAGAATGCAGACAACAATAAACAAAATCCAAAATGGACCAGAAATGCACATTTTGGTTTACAATTTAAATGTAGGTGTTGTAGAATGGTCCGTTTCCATCTTTTATCAGTTGGGACAAGCTGGATTAGGCTTTCCATGCATGGACATACTGTATACTGAAGATATAATAGCAAGATTGGTCAATTAAATAAATGCACTAATGGTATATAAACTTGGCCTTTCTTCTCAAGATACTCCTGCATTGTATGAGCGATTAGAGGACTGCTCACTTTTCTATGGATAAAAGGGCATGATTACTCCTCACGGAGATTTCCAATGTTCTGGAAATTCGCTGCAGCCTAAAGGTGCCCATACACTGCACGATTATCGTACGATAATCGTATGCGATCGGGTTTTCGTACGATAATCGAGCAGTGTGAACGGAGACGTGCGACCGTTTCTACTGTACGGTCGCACGTCTTCTGTCGAACCAGCATGTTCGAAAACCAGCCGGGAATCGTACGATTCTCGGCTGGTTAGAACGGTGCTCGGAAGATAAATGCTGAACGGGCCGGTGTGCGCACGCGCACACTGCCCGTTCAGCATTGCGGTCATCGGAAGCCCGCCCCTCAGGAGGGCGGGCTTGCGATGATCGAGAGTGCGATCTGCCTGTCCAAGATAGGCAGATCGTACGTTTTTTTAATCCCTTTACAACCATCGCAAGACTAAAGTCTTGCGATGGTTGTAGAGTGTATGGCCACCTTTACACATCCAAACTTAATTACTGTATGCCTATTATTACTGGAGCAGATAATACCACAATAAAGGCTGGATTCTGGAGTGATCCCCTGTTATGTTCACCTTTTTTAACACACCACATTTAAATGTTTTCCTGATTCTGATGTGGTTTAGAATATAGTGATAATGTGTAAATATCATTAAGAATTACTTTCCCCGAGTGCAGATCCCAAAAAGGATACTAGGTATTAACTATTAATTCCAAAATCATATATCATGGATATCCAAGGTATGAATACCTTTCAATAATACCTTGAATATCCATTATATATGATTTCCAGATACCTATGACACCATTCTGAAGCCATGGCTGGTATGGAATATGTTTCTAGGATGTTTTAAATCAGTGGTTCTCAACCTGTGTAAACTCAGGACCCACATTTGTCCTTGGTCGTTAAATTGTGACCCAAGTCGAACTGCAATGGAGCGCACGGCATTGCGGTACCGCAATTGAACTGTGGGCGGGAGGTGCGTTTGGGGTGCCATTCAAATGAATCACAGCGCAACGCACCTCCCACACCAGAACGCGTACTAGTAAATGTGATTACATGGTACAGTGCGTTAATCGCACAGGACTGTTCGATTAACGCACTGTACTAGTGTGAACGGGCCCTCAAAAACACTGACAAACACACACAACCACACACACACATACTCCAAAAAAAAAGTTTTTCTTTTTTCGGATCCACCCAGTCTCCCTACCTTATGAGGACTGGAGTGGATCCTCAGCTATGAGTCCAGTGTGGGCTCCTGTGCTGTGACAGAGCTCCATCCATATGTGCATTGTTTGTACAGCTCCCTTGTGCACCTTGTAGATGTGCTGGCAGCCAGAATGTGATGTCACTCCGTTCCAGACACCTCTACAGGACATGCGAGGGAGCTGTAAGCAACGCTCCCTCACGGCCATTCCCCCAGCCATCCCCACCTCACCCCACCTCAAGCTGACAATCAGTACCAGGCAGCATATTTGGCTGCTCAGCGTGATAACTGACATTGCTGCACTAGGGGGAGACTGAGAAGCCTCTCATCTAGAAAAGTGGAGGGCATGCGGCGACCCACTGAACACGGGGTCGCGACCCACTTTTGGGTCACGACCCACCAGTTGAGAACCAAGTTTTTAAATGAATGTTTATATATTCATGTTTTTGATTTTCATGATTTTTTCATATAAGGTTGTTAATAAATGTATACTATTTTGAAATTAATATTTGATATCTAGTATTCTTTTTGGGATCTCCACTCGACGAAAGTAATTCTTCTTTAGGATATTTTCAAGGGAGACCCGTATAGGTTGATAGATTTCTATATATTGTTAAACTGCTGTCCGCAGCTCAAAAACTTTCCCGTTCTATTTTTGTATTTTTTTTTATGATGTGTAAATAACATTAAATGAGATGACTATTTGAACTAATAATTGAAAAAAAATGGGGCTAGTAATAATATGGGGAATAGCCGCCTCTTTGCCTCATAGCCTAAAGACACATCCCTACTGTGCCTATTGGTAAATCCAGCCCTGTCTACACTACCTGATTCCCACAAGCAGTTATCTAATCTATTGCATTGTTTGTAAATATCAGCCAGTGTATGAATACCCTTCCTGTAAAATATCTGTTTATACATGCATTGATTTGAAATAAACAAGCCTCTATTGAAAGTGTAGCTGTGCTCAGCATAAGGTACAATTAATTATTGACAATTGATATTTTCCATGATGATCATTATTTTAATTATGTAGAAGCCACAGGCAAAAAAAACAAAGCAGATAGCTAATCCTTCTGGTTCCCTACAGCTGATCTTTTCCCCGGGCTCACCATGCCTCATTCTGCACTGTGTCTTGGTGTAGTAGCAGCCATCTTGGTAGAGAAGTGGGACTTTGCTTTCTCATGTCAGACCCAGAAAATGGTGAAGGAAGCATATTTTCCTTCGTACAAGCAGCACTGGTGGGGAGAAAGATCAGGCGGTAGCATGAGTGGTTGTGGGGTAGCAGATCCACAGACAGTAGCAGCCCAAAAACGGAGAGGCACTATGAGGCAGCAGGGTAGGTGAGCAAGGTATAGTTCCTCACACAGTACTCCTAATGTCACTAGAGGATACCAAATCTCATGAGGAATTTCCTGCAAAGTGCAGCAGCAAATTGTAATTGAGATTTAGGATCCTTTGCTTTCCCAGAAGGCATGATGTCACTGGCAGGAATCAGATCGAAGCTTGTTGAATAATTTTAATTTATTTTATTACACCTAGTGCTATAGAATGGGGGGAAGGGAGGAAGCAGATAGGCACTAGTTATTTTTTTCTCCATCAATATATTTATTATGAGTTTTATATTACATGTGTACCAAAGGAATCCCATAAACCTGAAGAATCTGGGCACAGTGGGTCACATCCACCATACAGGCATAGAAGTTCCTTTCCTTTATCTGTGCATCCCTGGAACCATGTCTCTGTGTGTCCAGGGACAAAGTGTTTAAGACAACTAGGGACCATGTACCATCTGTATGGAAGTTAAGATTTAGTGGCTTCCCTATACTTGATTCCATATATCAATGTATTTTGAGAGGTTGAGGTCTGTTTCCAATTCGCACATATATTTATGAGTTGTAGATGCCGTGCCATAAAGGAGAAATCCATATAGCAAGGAGATCAAACCTGGGGAATGGGGTTCCTCTCTGCAAATTAGTTCAAATATTATAGTTCATTTTTATAAGGTATTTTTTATTGCAGGTAAATATTAGCTCATTTTTACCTGCAAGGTCCACTTTAGACCCAGCAAAATTCTCCTGTCTCACCAAAAAAAGAGATTTTCTATTACCTCGTCCACTTACATGCTGCTACATTTCAGCTAATACTTTATTTAAAGGGTAACTCCAAAATTACTTTTCTAGTTAAATCTGCAGCCAGCTATGATTTTCTAAAACTTGCAAGAATTTAAACATGGCTTTCTTGAATGTGTGGAACAGTGATTTATCATCACATGGGGCTGAATTAAAAAAAACACCAAGTGTATGGCCAGCTTTAGACTGAAGCTACTGGGGTAATCAGTAGGCCTGTCGGACTCAGAGGTGAACCACTCTGGGTCACAGGTAAGTATTTGGCTGGTATATTCTGAATGCAAGTAGCATAGGAACAGGAAAAGCTAAAGTCAGTCTACTTTTGCATATACACTCGGCACAAACCCACTATATGTTTTGTAGGGGTTTACAAGCCTCAAATTCATAATAAAAGAGGACCATCTTACATTGCATATAGTTACATAGTTACATAGTTACATAGTATTTGAGGTTGAATAAAGACATTAGTCCATCAAGTCCAACCTATTAGGATCTCATTCTAGGAGTACCCAACACACAATTCTACCTCACCTCATGCCTCTCTTGTAATCGTTTAGTTCCTTTAGACTGTAAAATCTAATGGCACACTTTACTCTTTTGTTTTGGTCTGTGTTTGCAATGTCTGTAAAATAAAAATTAGCTTTTAATGTGTACAGTATGTAAACTCTAACAATTAACTTCTCTTGTTTGCTCTCTTTTGGTCTGTTAAATGCACTATTGAGAGTATTTTGCTAATATCAAATGATCCAGCCAGATACCTTTTGAGCTTATATTGT